GGCATATGAGTGAACGAGGGATGCAAGTTCTATCAAAGAGGGATCTTCTTTGCGGGCACAAGGTTCAGAATTTGGAATTCTGTGAGCATTGTGTGTTTGGGAAGCTACATCGCAGCAAGTTTCCCAAGAAGGGTATCCACCGGACGAAGGGGATACTGGATTACCTCCACTCCGACTGTTGGGGTCCTTCACGAGTTGAATCCATTGGAGGCAGCAGGCATTTTCTGTCTATTATTGATGATTATTCGAGATTTACTTGGATTTTCATGATGAAGCAGAAAAGTGAGGCTTTCACGAAGTTCAAGCAGTGGAAGACATTGGTGGAGAATCAGACCGGGAAGAAGATCAAGAAGCTGCGAACGGACAATGGTCTGGAGTTCTGCAGTTCTGAGTTCAACGAATTCTGCAAGGATGAAGGGATTGCCCGTCATCGGACTGTTAGAGATACACCTCAGCAGAATGGCGTTGCAGAAAGAATGAACCAGACATTGTTGGAGAGAGCACGGTGCATGCTCTCTAATGCTGGACTAGAGAGAAGATTCTGGGCAGAAGCAGTAAACATGGCGTGCTTCCTGATCAACCGTGGACCACACACAGGTATCGAGTGTAAGACTCCTTATGAAGTGTGGTATGGTAAGCCTGCTGATTACTCTTCACTGAAAGTTTTTGGGTGTCCTGTTTATTATCATGTGGATGAGGGTAAACTGAACCCAAGGGCAAAGAAGGGTGTATTTGTGGGTTACGGAGATGGAGTTAAGGGATTTCGAGTCTGGTCACCTTCTGAGCATCGAGTTATACTTAGTAGAAATGTGATATTTGATGAGAAGTCTATGTTTAACCCCATGTTGAAGGTCACTGTTGTTGAAGGTAGCAGGAATGTTGATAAGCAGGTGGAGCTGCAAACTCTCAATGAGAGTGAGTTTGAGCACCAAGGTGGAGAAGATCAACATGATGAGGATGTCTCTGCAGAGCCAGAAACTTCAGAGTCCAGTGCACGAGCTCAACAGTCTATTACTTCCGGTAGACCGAAGAGAGCGACTGCAGGAGTACCTCCACAGAGGTATGGCTTCGAGGACATGGTGGCGTATTCATTTCAGGTTGCTGAAGAAGTGGATGCAGGAGAGCCACAGTCCTATAGAGAAGCAGTTTCGGGCGGTGAAGCTGATCAGTGGCTTGCCGCAATGGGAGATGAGATGGAATCCCATGACAGGAATCAGACTTGGGAGCTAGTCAAACGACCACAGGGAAGGAAGATTGTGACAAACAAGTGGATCTACAAGAAGAAGGAAGGAATCACTTCCAAAGAGGGCATGAAATTTAAAGCTCGGGTGGTTGCACGAGGCTTCTCGCAGAGGGAAGGAGTTGACTACAATGAGATTTTCTCACCAGTGGTCAGACATACTTCGATCAGAGTGCTACTAGCAATAGTGGCACATTATGACTTGGAGCTCGAGCAGCTAGACGTGAAGACAGCTTTCCTACATGGAGAGTTGGAGGAAGAAATTTACATGACTCAGCCAGAAGGATTCGAGGTTCCAGGAAAAGAAGACTATGTTTGTAAGCTGAAGAAGTCCTTATATGGACTTAAGCAATCTCCGAGGCAGTGGTACAAGAGATTTGACAGTTACATGCTTGAGCTGGGCTACAACAGAAGTCCATATGATTGTTGTGTATATCACAGCAAGGCAGAGGATGGTTCGATGATATATCTAGTTCTGTATGTGGATGATATGCTCATAGCTGCGAGGTCGAAGTCTGATATCCAGAAGTTAAAGGGGCTTCTCAGTGCTGAGTTTGAGATGAAGGATTTGGGAGCTGCTCAGAAGATCTTGGGTATGGAGATTTACAGGGACAGGTCGAAGAAGAAGCTTTTCTTGTCACAGAAGAGCTACATCCAGAAGATATTGTCGAGGTTTGGCATGTCTTCAGCAAAGCCCTTAAATACTCCTAGTGCTTCAAATGTTCATCTATCCTCAGCTTATGCACCGCAGTCAGAGGCTGAGAAGGAGTACATGTCGAGAGTCCCATATGCTAGTGCAGTAGGTAGCTTGATGTACGCTATGGTATGCACTAGACCTGATCTTGCACATGTTGTTAGTGTTGTTAGCAGGTTTATGATACAACCTGGGAAGGAGCATTGGCAGGCTGTGAAGAGGATCTTCCGGTACCTTAAGGGTACACCTGATGTGGGGATTAGCTTCGGAAGTGATACAGAGTGCTTGGTGTCTGGGTATTCTGACTCAGACTATGCTGGAGATGTTGACACGAGGAGATCGATGACCGGTTATGTATTCACTCTTGGGAGTTCTGTAGTGAGCTGGAAGGCAACTTTGCAGTCGGCGGTGACATTGTCTACTACTGAGGCAGAGTATATGGCGTTGACAGAAGCTGCCAAGGAGGGAATATGGTTGAAGGGACTGGTTGGTGATCTTGGTCTACATCATGATCAGGCAGTGGTGTATTGCGACAGTTTGAGTGCAATATGCTTGGCCAAGGATCAAGTCCACCATGAGAGGACTAAGCACATCGATGTGAGGTATCATTTCTTGAGGACAGAGAAGAGGATTAAGGTGAAGAAGGTTGGCACCGCGGATAATCCTGCTGATATGTTCACGAAGCCGGTTCCACATGGCAAGTTCCAACACTGCTTGGACTTGCTGAATGTCTTGAGTGGGTGACTCCGCCCTACGGGGCATTGATGGCGGGAGAGAGAGAAGGAGCAGAGTACATCAGAGATTTCAGAGGAAGAGGATTCAAGTCAAGGTGGAGATTTGTTGATATGACTTGAATCGGATTATCAGCCGCTACGACTGGTAACCGGGGGTCTCGCTGCCCGGTCAGCGAGTGGGGGTGCGGGGGCAACGCCCCCGGCCCACGGTGTATGAGCTCAATGTTATTTGGGTTCGGGTTCTGGGCCTGGTCTGTAACCGTTTCCTTTGCTAGATTGGATTAGGTTTAGACCCACATGGAGAAGTACTATAAATACTTCTCATACTCCTCTGTAATCTGTAATCTCCTCAGATATAGTGAAACTGGCTCTCTCTCGCCCGTGGACTAGCTAACACACATCGTGTTAGTGAACCACGTAAATCGTGTGTCGTGTTTTCGATTCTCGCTTTCGTATTCTTGCTTTGTCGATTCCGGCGATTTCCCGATCCGTAGCAGCGCGTTTATAACATGCGGAATCAAGGACGTCGCTAGTCGGTCTAGCTCGAGGTTCTTCTTCTCCTTTCAGTGAACGCCAAGGTCGCCGAGGTCGCCGTCGTGCGATCCGATCCGAGAACGCCAAGGTCGCAGTTGCTACCCGTCGTCTCTGTAGTCTCTGCCGCCGTTCCTCCCTCCTCGTCGTCTCTGTTCTCCTCTGCCGTTCGCTCCGCCGACCATCGCCGAGAAGCCGACCCAGCCACCAGCGAGTGAGCGACCGCTTCCGCGGAGCCTGTCGCAACGCGACCAGCGACCGACGTGGATTCGTCTTCCCTTTGAACTTCAAATTAGGTACAGGCGTATAGCTGCAGAATCGTTTGTGTTTACTGCCTTAAGGAATAAGGAGGGCATTTTGAATTCTAATAATAAACAATCGATTGTTTATTGCATATGGAATTGTGTCCTGTAACTTTGGAATTGTGGATTAGAAATGATTGTTGACTCTCTAATTATAAATTATCTACGTAGATTACATTGTGGATTAGAAATGAGTGATTCTTTGATTAATAACTTATCAATGTAAAATGGTTCGTGGGTTGCTGGTACTGATGATTATATGTTAATATTTTACAATTTGTTATCTAGTATTTTCGATAAAAATTATTTTATTATTACAAAAACAGTATTTATCGGTACGAAACGGTTGAACCACGATCGTATCACAAATTACCCTACCAAAAACAAATCCGGTATGATGTTCGGTACGGTTTCCTGAACCATGGTCCAAATCGGACTCGGTTAGCACTAATAGTATTTAAACCCTTTGTCTACAAATATATTATAGTAGAGTGGGTAGCAGTTTTTCAGCATTTCAAAATTGCTGATCAGAGAGCAAATTTCGGTGACCCTGAATGGTAATTTTGCTCGGTGCTATTTCAGCGCCTTAATTTCCGTCGCCTACCAAATTTGGGCCGGGGATCTACTACTCTGAATCCAATTCTAACTTAGGCCCATAAATGCTTAGCTGCCGTAACTATTTTTCATTTGGTTGTAGATCTTTAGTATTTTATATGACAGAAAAAGAATATTGGGGATCATTGAAATTTCACCTTAGCCTTTGTTTATTTTATTCTTTTAATAGTTGTAGCAATCAGCAAATATCTTATGGTAGGATTGGAAGCCGTTTTCAGCATTATTTTTCCTTTTCAGCATTTAATGTTTTGAGGAGCAACAAGAATGATAGTAGGAAAGATAAATTTGTATTTATAATTATTTATTTATTGTTTATTCATAAGAAAAATACAACAGTCTCGGGATTTGAATAATCAATAATGATATCTTCAAACAAAGACAAGAATAATTAGCACAAATGTCATAACCTATTCACTTAGTACGAAAAGGTCACAAACCTAATTTTGTACGTTTCAATAGCACATGTTTAGAAAAATAATGAAAAGGACATTCCATCCATCTCCATCCAAAAAATCTCTATTTATACCCAGTCAACATGCCACGTCACTTCAAATATTAATAAAAACCAATGACCAAATCCAATCAACCTAGGCTCAATCCACGTCACTTAAATTATATGACCATTATGAATACAATGTTCGGTTATTGATGAAAATTTATTAAAACTTCAAAATAAAATAAAATAAAATAAAATCGATATCAGCTAAATATCATATTAAGGTAAACATTTCAAATCATTCGAAAAGTTTAAAATATAATTCGTAAATACATTGTATGCAAAATACATCCGACCAACGGGTCGGACACCAAACTAGTTATGGGAAGAGACCCATTCTTTTTCGGCTCTAATCAAATAAACCTAAGGGTCACGGAGGTCAGATATTATGGAAGGAAGATTCTTCCCGGAGGACCTGATGATGAGCGAAATTTTGGTGAGGCTCCCCATATTCTGCCTCGTGCGTTTCCGGTGCGTCTGCAAATCATGGTACTCTCTCCTCTCTGACCCCAAATTCCTTTACAAAACCCTATTCTTGGTCGAGAACGACCACCGCCGCGACGACACTAAAATTCTTGTCAAGCTCAAGCTTAACCCTGCGGACCCACTCCTTTACTGTTCCCTCTCATATGATTCTCTCCAAGTTGAAATCCCCTATCGAGATTTTCCGAATCCGAATCCAAATTACAAGCAACCCGGGTCGATAATGAGTGCATGTGGTATCAAACTAGCTGAGCTAGGGTTAAGAGAAGGAAGAAGAATGCGGCACAGAAATGGGGAACGCGCAAGAGAATCATTGTTCTCTGCATTTGATTTATATATCAGTTTGTATTGTGTTCTTCACGTTACAAAACCAGAAAGAAAGAAAAACTAAACAGAAATTCAAATTGACTGTAAAGTAAATGACACTTGTCTTCTCTCCATTCGCCACAGTAATAGTCCACTCAACGGTAAAACCCGAGACTCCACAACGACGCCGCTTTGCCTCTTCGTTTAAGTTGAGTGGAGGGAACCCAGAAACGTTTCGTTTCTGGGTGAGGTTTCTTCTTCGTTCAAACCTGCAGAGTCTTCTGTTCTTCATCCTTCACTTCTGCAGGACATCTTCTTCTTCCAATTCACTTGATACTCCCCCACAAGCTGGCGAGTAAGGATTACACACTCCCAGCTTGTCCAATAAGAACTTTAGTCTATAACGAGTCATGCCTTTCGTGAACAAATCTGCAACTTGATCATCAGTTCTTACATGGAACAGTTTAACCAAACCAGATTTCAACCTTTCTCTTGTAACATGGCAATCTATCTCAATGTGTTTCGTCCTTTCATGAAACACGGGGTTTTCAGCAATATGCATAGCATATTTGTTATCACAAAACAGAGGAATTGGTAAAGGTACCTTAACTCCCATTTCAGTCAAGAGATTTCTTAGCCACTGCACTTCACACACAACCTGAGCCAAAGCTCTATATTCAGCTTCAGAGGAGGATCTAGAGACTGTAGTCTGTTTCTTAGTCTTCCATGTGATTAATGAAGTCCCTAAGAAAGTACAGTAGCCAGTGAGAGACCTCCTTGAATCTGGACAACTTGCCCAGTCTGCATCACAGTAGCCAGATAATTCAAGTTTTGAATCTGCCCTGAAAATCAAGCCTTGACCAAGAGTTTGTTTTAAGTATCTAATAACTCTATGTGTTGCTTGCAAATGCTCAACACAAGGGGCAGCTTGAAATTGAGCCAGCTGTTGAACAGCATAAGCCACATCAGGCCTTGTAATGGTCAGGTAATGCAGTCTTCCTATCAGTCTCCTATAGACACCAGGATCTGCCATCAATTCTCCTTGTTCTGCAGATAGCTTGACATTGCAGTCAACAGGGGACAAGCAACCCTTTGCTTCTACAAAACCAGTGTCATCAAGCAATTCCAAACAATATTTCCTTTGACTGACTGTGATCCCCTTGTGATCTCTCATCACTTCCAGTCCCAGGAAATAGCTCAGTTGACCAAGGTCTTTAACCTTGAATTCTTTACTCAAGAACTTCTTCAATTGTTCTATGTCCCCCAGATAACTCCCAGCAATCAGGATGTCATCAACATAGACAAGAACCACAACCACTCTTCCCTGAATCCACCTCACAAACATTGAATAGTCAGAAGCTGTTTGTGAATAACCATTTTTCAACAATGCACTGGTGAGTTTTGCAAACCACTGTCTGCTTGCCTGTTTCAGGCCATATAAGGACTTCTTAAGCTTGAAAACAAGCCCTGAACCCTTAGGAACATAAACTCCAGGTGGGATTTCCAAATACACTTCCTCCTCCAAGTCTCCATGAAGAAAGGCATTGGACACATCCATCTGGTGGATGTGCCAATCCTTAGAGGCAGCCACTGCTAACAGAGTTTTGACTGAATTGATCTTTGCTACTGGAGAATAGGTGTCAAGAAAATCAATCCCATAGATTTGGGTATAACCCTTAGCAACTAGCCTTGCTTTAAATCTCTCTATTGTACCATCAGACTTGTATTTCACTTTAAACACCCATTTTGCACCTATAGGTTTCTTTCCTGGTGGCAGCTTGACCAATTCCCATGTTTGATTTTCATACAAGGCATAGATTTCCTCTTTACAGGCTTGGTTCCATCTAGGATCCTTACAAGCCTCAGCATATGATGAGGGCTCTTGTACAGACAGAACACTAAGAGCAAAAGCTCTTTGGGAAGCAGACAAGTGGTCATAGCCAACCTGATGACTAATATGGTGTTTAGAAGTTGATGCAGCCATGCTAACATGATAATCTTTATGCCAAACTGGTACAGTATGAGGTCTACTTGACTTTCTCAAAAATTCAGCCTCATCTGTGTCATTCTGCTCAGGAAACACATCAATCTCACTATCCTCCCCCTCAGAATGCAAACTGACAACAGGAGTAACCTCCTCAGAAGCAACAGGCAGTGTTGAAGAAGAAGGAGATTTAGTAGAAGAAGAAGCAGGTGTGGTAGAGTTTGCAGGCTGAAGTGGAGATGGATGTGGAGAGTGAGGAAGGTTTTTGGGAATAGAAGGAGTTTGAGAAGTGGAAGGAGTTTGAGAAGTAGAAGGAAAGTGTGGTAATATAGGCTCTGTGGTCATGGGGGAAAAGGAATCATCAGTAGGAATAGAGGAAGAGGTAGAATGGAAAGGTAAGATAGATTCATAGAAAATCACATCTCTGGAAACAAAGAAAGAGTGTGAATTGATATCAAAGAGCTTGAACCCTTTAATCCCTGCTGGAAAACCAAGGAATATACACTGCCTGGCCCTGGAATCAAATTTTGTTCTATCCCTATGCAAAGAAGCAGCATAGCAAAGGGAACCAAAAACCTTAAGACCATTCAGATTTGGAGCTTTTCCATACAAAAGCTCATAAGGAGACTTGTTCTCAAGAACAGTGGAAGGAAGTCTGTTAATCAAATATACAGCATGCAACACACAGTCACTCCAGAACCTAAGAGGAATGCCAGATTGAAATCGAAGGGCTCTTGCTACATTCAGTATGTGTTGGTGCTTCCTTTCAACCCTGGCATTTTGTTCTGGAGTTTCCACACATGACTGTTGATGTTCAATACCCTTATCACTATAGAACTCAGCCATGTGAAACTCAGAACCCTGATCACTTCTGATAACTTTAACAGACTTAGAAAACTGCCTTTCAACCATAGTGCAAAAAGATTGCAACAAAAGACCAGTTTCAGACTTGTGTTTCATTAAGAAAACCCAAACAGCCCTTGTAAAGTCATCCACAATTGTTAGGAAATAGGAAAAACCTTCATGTGACTTGACAGCCAATGGCCCCCATATGTCAACATGAACTAAACCAAAAGCATCCTCTGCTCTACTGGTGCTTACAGGGAAAGAAAGCCTTTTATGTTTGGCATAATGACAAATTTGACAATGGGAAACCACATCTCTATTACAAGGTAATGTATGTTTCTCTTTGTCTTTGCCTGGGTGCCCTAGTCTCCAGTGCCAGAGGTGGAAATTTTGTGGAAGAAAGTTGTAGGTAAAGGCTGCTTGAGGAGTAGAAAGAAGAGGTGCATGAGCCTTGGTATGCAATTGGTATAGACCTCTATTCTGCCTTGCCAAACCAGTCCTTTTCTGGGTCACCAGGTCCTGAATTTGACAAGCATCAGATTCAAAGTGTAGTGAGATGGGTTGATCATTTGTAAGTTTGCTAACTGAGATGAGGTTGAAAGTAAAACTTGGCACAAGGAGAACATTGTCTAAGGTAAGGTCTGGGGATAGATTAACCTTTCCTATGTGACTAACTACAACCTTAGTCTCATTAGGTAGATAGACAAACTGATCCTTAACTGCCATAGCTTCAGCAAACAATGCAATATTGCAAGCAATGTGGTCAGATGCCCCAGTGTCCAGGATCCAAGTATGAGCAAGATGTTCTGACTTGTGTTGCATAAAAGATGAGAGTATGAACTTACCAGCATGAGTTGGGAATTGAGACATGCTATGAGCAACAGAGAAAGCCAGGTGATTGACTGAAGGTGATGCTGGTGGTGATGGACTAGGTGAGGGAACTGTCTGCAGCAGATACCTTAGCTTGTTGAGCTCTTCAGGTGAGAAATGGAGATTATCCTTTGAGGAGACACTTATAGAGTCTGAGCTGTGTTTAGACTCTGAACCAGTTGAATCTCCCTCATTGGAATGCTCTCCTTGAGAAACAGCAGCTGCTACTCCTCCAGCCATCCTGAGTTTTTTGTTTTTCAGCTTCCAGCATTCATCCTTAACATGACCATCTTTCTTGCAGTAACGACAGAACTTTTTCTCATCAGAATTGTCTCCTGGTACGGCCAAAGCAACTGTTTGAACACCCCTGGTAATCCCTTTGTCTGCCTTCAGTTTTTGTTCATGCTGCAGTACATCATTGATTGCTACCTCTACTGTTGGCAATGGTTTCATCATCAAAATCTGAGTATGAACTACATCAAACTCAGGGCGAAGACCTTTCAAAAACCTAATGAGGTAATCTGTCTCCTGCTTCTGCTTGAAAGCCTCCACTGCAGCACAAGGTTGAGTCCTCTGAGGAGCACAGTTACAGTCCACAATTGGGTTGAACTGTAAATGTTCCTCCCACAGGCCTTTCAAAGCAGTATAGTATTGGGTAACATTCATAGTTCCTTGTTTGCAAGCAATAATTTGATCACCCATATTAGACAATTTAATTGCATTAGCATACCCAAAATGAGCCTTAAGCTCTTCCCATAGAGTCTGAGCAACATCATGTTGCATAACACTTCTCCTTATCTCCTTGTCCACAGAATTCAGAATCCAGCACAATACAAGAGTGTTACAGGCATCCCAAGTACTGTAATTAGGGTTTCCTATTCCTGGAGAGACGATGGACTCATCGATAAAACCAATTTTGTGTTTGGTTTTGAGTGCCATTCTCATGGCTCGCTGCCACATTTGGTAATTGGGTCCATCAAGAACTTCAGAGACTATAGCTTGAGAGATGTTCTCATTGGGGTTGATATAGAAGGGGTTACCGAATTGGGGATCTGGGCGCTCGTTGTTGTTGTTAGATCCACCTGCTACACCAGAGCTCATTCCAGAAAAAGAGCCGAAAGGAATGCCTCCAGGAGTGCCAGGCGGAGTATTGTTGTGAGTCGCCATGGAAGGTTACTGGATCAGTAACCGCTCTGATACCATATCAAACTAGCTGAGCTAGGGTTAAGAGAAGGAAGAAGAATGCGGCACAGAAATGGGGAACGCGCAAGAGAATCATTGTTCTCTGCATTTGATTTATATATCAGTTTGTATTGTGTTCTTCACGTTACAAAACCAGAAAGAAAGAAAAACTAAACAGAAATTCAAATTGACTGTAAAGTAAATGACACTTGTCTTCTCTCCATTCGCCACAGTAATAGTCCACTCAACGGTAAAACCCGAGACTCCACAACGACGCCGCTTTGCCTCTTCGTTTAAGTTGAGTGGAGGGAACCCAGAAACGTTTCGTTTCTGGGTGAGGTTTCTTCTTCGTTCAAACCTGCAGAGTCTTCTGTTCTTCATCCTTCTTCACTTCTGCAAGACATCTTCTTCTTCCAATTCACTTGATATGTGGCGGCTTGTTTTGCGTTACTTACTTCGGCGGCTCTGCTGGAGGAGACGATCGTACTCACGCTTTGTTTAACCCTGCCACCTCCGAGATCAAAGTGTTGCCCCCTCCCCTTCATATACCGTTGTCTGAGTATGGAGTGATTTGGACCACTACTGGGTTTTGGTTCGACCAGCAGACCAATGATTACAAAGTCATCAGGATTCGTGGTGTATACAGGTACGCAGATAGTTGTTATCTCAATCTGATTCATGTGTGCAGCATGGGGGACGATTCATGGCGGGAACTCGATGGTTCTGTTGGTATGGTACTGCCGCCACATCCACATTTCAGAATACACGGTCTTGAGCTCCCACAGCATTGTCCTCGAGCAAGGTTGAGTGGTGGGAGGAAGGGCACGTGTTTTTGGGTAGGAATGAATGCAGATTATGCGCAATGCCATAAAGCCATCACAATCGTTTCGTTCGACATGAGCAGCGAAGTGTTTCGGGTTGGCAAAACCTTGCCAAATCCTTGCGGCCGTTGGTATAATGTCAATGGGTTCAACCCCTGTGTGTTCATGTTGAAGGACGAGACCGTTGCAATTTACCATTGTGTTGGTGCCTATTATGCAGAACCGAAGATGGATATATGGGTGCTGCAGCAGTTTGATACTGCGGGAGAGTGTTGGTACAAGCTGTTTTCTATCTCCCCTTCCCCTTCCCCGTGTATACTGATGGGGCCGAGAGGATTGTCGAAAGATGGGAAAGTGATTTGTGTCACCCGTGATGATCGCCTGCTTGTCTTGGATCCCACCACTGGGCAAACATATGCTCTACCGGTTGGAGGTTGCCACCACTACTCTCTACAAGTTGTAAGCTATGTTCCATCGGTGCTACCGTTATCTCATTGGAAATAAAAGCTGTGATCGATGCTCTTTTCTTACGGCGTTTCCTTATAGCTCATGGAAACAGAACACCAGCTTATTAGTACGTATATAAGCGGATGATGGCACAAGTGGTAGTGAGATTTGAATTATTGGTAAGATTGATATGTGGATTCTTACTGAAGTTGGTGTAGGCACTATATATGTTCTCAATAAACATGTTGTGGCTGATGATGGTTCATTTTCGAGATGGTTAGTTTCAGTAAGTAGGTGCTATAAATAACCTGGCTGCAACTTATCGAACACAGTTGAATAAAAAATGCTATTTCTGCTGAATGCCTTTTCTCATTACAGCGTGAGTGAGAGGGAAGAACTGCAGAGCAGCTGCTAGTGCTCTCTATTCTGACTATTGTTGTCAAAATTGAACCGGACATCGATCCGGATTTGTGAGAGATTCACGGTTTATCGAATAACCGCCGTTAATTAACCGGTATTAAAAACCGGTCGGGGTTGTGGGGGTGGGGGGAACCTCTTAGATATAAGAGGGACGGTTGCGACCCTATCAATTGCACTCTGCACCAACCGCTAATCTTTCACCATGTAAGTCACCGGTTCCTAGATCATCACCCTTCATAATTAGTTTAAACATTTATTTACTTGATTATTTAGGTGACGATTCCTTTTCTTATTGTTTTTTATGGGCTAATTATTACCTGATTAAGATGAATGGTTTTCTCTGTTTTGCAGGCGCGATCAAGTGCAAACCTAGGTGCTTAAGAATTCTCGAAGGCATTTTATGATTGATGGAGTTTTTATGTATTTAATTAATAGTTAACAATTACTTATTTGTATTATTGATATTTATTCTATATTTTTAATTCACATGAATTTTTGCTTATTGTTGATGTACTTTGAATAATCAATTGCATTTTCGATATAGATATTTACGTTCTTTGCTCTATAAAGGTGTTTAAATAAAATATATTATTACGTGATTAATGCGTTGTCACAATATGATTCAATAGTGACAACCAAATAGTCACATAAGATCTATACAATTTATACAGAGGACAAATCTCCGTCATCAAAGATACAAGTTAGATGACAACTCTTCGTCCTCATATGAAGCATAAGTGACAATTGTTGTGGCCAAAGATGAAGTATAAGAGACCATTTGTTGTCCTTAAATAGAACTTTTGGAGACGATCTATTGACTCTAATTTGACACCTATGGGAACGACATGTCGAGCCTATATACAGAAAACGGGACATCAAACTATCCCCAGAAGGCCACATCACTTTCATGAAATTGATTACTGGGGACAACATTTTGTGCCTACAAATAATGTTTAGGAGACGAATTATTGTCACCAAAGTCGTGGCTATTGGGGGACATGTTGTCTTTCATGGAAAGACACGAGACAACAACTCATGAGTATCGGGGACGACTGTAGTCTCCAGTATTAGGGACGACCTAGATTTTTGTCGTCCCCAAAAGAATAGAGGACAAGCGTATAAGGGACAAAAAAATTGGGGACGACTTAGTCATCCCCAACATTTATAGGGACGATTTTCCCAATCAAGAGGGGGAAGATCCTTTACTTTAGGTTAGGCCGGTCTCGTCATTCACGAAATTCCCCCGTCCATCGATCAATCACGCGAGTACGCATCCAGTCATAGCGAACGAAAAAAGCGTTCATCTCGTGCCTAAAAAAAATTTCTATTCCGGGGACGACTTTTGTCATCCCCAAATCTCCATTTTTTTAGTGATCGCCATGGAAAGGGCCTCTGATCATTCTTATACAGCAAGAACAAGAGAATTATGTCAAAAACAAAAAACAATTCAATTTCACCAATCACAAAATAAAGAACGGTTAATGAGAATATATGTATGCTTGGGGATTAGAATACAAAACTTTACGTTAATGAGTTTATTGTTACGGTGATGTGACGTAGGGGATGGCGTTTTTAGGATTTTCTCGTAAAATGAATAAAACGCAAAAAACTCTCAAAGGAAATAACTAATGAAATAGCAAATAAAGGACAAAAGCTAACTATTGGGTTCCAATCTTCTTATATCATTAAACGAACGAAACAATTACATATTTATAGGCATAGAAGCCTCTTCCTTTTCCCATCTATAACATGACTCCTACTGCTCTAAGGAAACGACTAAGAATAACCAAAACCGACTTGAACAAGGAAAACACTAATTAAGACAATAATAATAAAGACCCAATAATAACCAAATACGAACTAGTAATTAAATACTAAAGATACGCAAGTCCAGTCTCCTACAAAATGCTACGATGACCTGATCTCGTAACATTTATGAGATTCAGAAGAGTACATAAACAAATAAGCTATGTGTGTTTGTGAATAGATATACACTTGCATAACTTTAGTGATGAAATCGAGTGAGAAATATGTCGTGCACGTAAAGATTAAAAACAAAAACTTAGTAAGTATCATGCAATAGTGTATTGCTCTCCACACAAAAAGAAATTAAACAAGCTTTAGCGACAATGACCACTCATACTTGATAAACGTAAATGCAATGAGAATTGCGTCTTCTTTTTCTCATTTTGAACGGTAGAGAAAGTAAATGACTTTTGAGAAGGTTACTAGTGGTTACTGATTGATGTGGCCTATCATAAATGTAATCACTCGATCTCCAGAAAGTTTGATGTGGCGTTATGTGTAGTTGTCAAATTTCATAGTAACTTGATGGGTTTGATCTTTGGAGCACCTTTTGGTAGAGTCCCTCGGAGAAGATGGCCACAGTGATCCTCACACATCGACCGATACATCTCGTAAGCAATAGAAATGGGAATGTTGGTAAGAAGTCCCAACGCCTCGTTCTTCGTCAAGCAACGATCAAAACAAGCATCGAAAGTGTCTGCGGTGCATAGGCGAGGACCAAGATGAATATTAATGAAGAATAATTATTAATTAATTAACAGTGCAAGTAACCTAGCACTGTTCCTCACGACAATTTCTCTCTAGGTTACTGTTCACTAGAGTTATGCTTAGCTACGGCCAAACCCACAAAAGTTTCCGGTTCTATTCTTGGAGCATTTTTTCCCCAACCATCATTCCGGTCCTATTTCTTCATGTTGGAGCATTTTTTTGCCACTAATTATTATTATAAACATCAAGTTTACCATATCATTAAGCTAAGCAATATCTGGATGAAAAAATGCCTACGAGAGTTCAGACCAATAGGTAGTTTTAATGGTACCGGTTGAACCACAGTTAAACCATGCTTTCAATACAAGATACCCGAATACTCATGTTTTCGATATAATCTCCAGTACGATTTTGCAATACTTGATTTATAGAAGGATATGTATTTCTTATATGATTTTTTGGATATAACCTCATGTACAATAGGGTATAAAAAAGGCATACGAGAGTTCAGACCGATAGAACTTTTTAACGCTATAAAATGATTGAACCACAATTAATCCATGGCTACGAGAGTCTAGACTGGTAGGCAAGTTTAAAATGGTTGAACCACAATTAAATAATAATTTCAATAGCAAATACCCTAATACTCACATTTCAGTATAATCTCCATTACGATTGTGCAATCCTTGATTTATAGAAGGATATGTGCTTTTATGAATTTTTTATATAACCTTATGTACGATAGGTATAAAAATGCCTACGAGAGTTTAAACCAGTAGGCAGTCTTAACGCTATAAAATGGTTGAACCACAGTTAAACCATGCTTTCAACACAGAATACCCTAATATTGACATTTTCGGTATTTTCTCCATTACGATTTTACAATCCTTGATTTATAGTATGATAGGTATCTCTTATGTGATTTTTTCAATATAACCTCCAGTATGATAGTGTATAAAAAATGCCTATGAGAGTTCATAACGGTATGGAGATTTAGCAGTTAAAACTAAGGTTAAACCATGATTTCTATACAAAATACCCTAAAAATGACATTTTTGGTATAATCTCCAGTATAGTTTACAATCATTGATTCACAAAAGGATAGATATTTCTTGCGTGATTTTTTGGTATAACCTCCAGTACGATAGAGTATAGAATTGCGTATGAGAGTTCAGACCGGTTGTCAGTTTTAACAACATAAAACGGTTGAATCATGGCTTCCATACAAAATAAACCTAATATTGACGTTTTTGGTATAATCTCCAGTAAGATTTTACAATCCTTAATTTATAGAAGGATACATATTTCTTATGTGATTTTTTCAGTATAACTTCCAGTACGATAGGATATAAAAATGCCTGTGAGATTTTAGACCAGTAGGCAATTTTAACGGTATAAAACGGCTGAACCACAATTAAACCATGATTACAATATAAAATACCCTAATAATGACGTTTTTGGTATACTCTCCAATTGATTTCACAATCCTTGATTTAAAGAAGGATAGTTATTTCTTATATTACTTTTTCGGATAACTTTCAGTATGATTACATTCTTTTATTTATAGAATAATAGATTTTCTTATGGTTTGGAAGGATATATATTTCTTATGTATAAACAAACTAATTACGTATATCTGCCATAATATAATTTCGAACGAACCAAAATCTCTTTATTATTGATCATTTCATCAATTTATTGTACACAAAGATTATGTGATGGTAGTTATTTCTTACTTGATTATTGATCATCTCAACAATTTATTGTAACACTTAATAAGATGTGATACTTTTTTAACTTGATTGTAAAATTAGGCCACAGATTATGACAAATTTATACAACACCAATTTATAATAGTTAATTAAATTATAAATATATTACGTAAAATCTATAGAGTAATTATTATTTTTTATAAATCAATTAAACAAACTTATTATGTACGTCTTTAATATTAATACATTACATAAATCTTATGGAGAGATATTTATTTGTTATTATAATTTATGTCCCATAATTACTTTATCATTATAAAATTCCTAAATTATTAATAAACCATTCATCATATTATCAATTTGAATTACACAAATATTTTCTAAGATCAACTAAATTTTACAGAACAATTTAATCTTCTGTAAGTTAATTTTATTATTAGACACACATTACATAAGATTAAGGTATCACCCTTCTATTATAGGTATATAAATGTAAATGGATTTCAAAAAATTTATGGACGAATGATTATTTTTTATATATCAATTGAACAAACTAATTACGAAACACTTATGATATAAGTCTTCCATAATGATTAGACACTACATAAATGTTATAAAGGAATAATTATTTCTTATACGTCAGTTAATAAACGTATTAAGTAAGTCTTTTGTGATAATTAAGGTCATACGTAAAACTTATTGAGATATATTATTTCTTATGTATCAATTAAACAAACATATGACTTAAATCTTTCGTAATGTTTAAGACATTTGTAAACCTTATGGGCATGAGCACTTCTACTATGTTATATAGCATTGATGCTTTAATGTACAACTCAAAGTTGTACCATAACATTAAATGTATAAGTTTAGGTTGTACCATAAAACAATTTGTACCATTATGTTATGGTACAACTTTACAACTTGAAGTTGTACCATCACATAAATGTACAAGTTCAAGTTGTACTATAAAAGAATTTGTACAAAAAGTATAGGTACAATCTAAAGTTGTACCATAACGTAAATGTACAATTTTAAGTTGTACCATAAAGACAAAAACCTATAGCACCAATACTATATAGCATTGTAAAATTTCTCTATGGGCATATCTAACTTGAAAGGTTTTGAGAATTATATGATTTCAACTATATTATT